GCCCCGCGCACGGGCGGGCGCCGGCTGGCCGAGGGGCAGGGGTGGCTGCCCCACCTGACCGTGCCCTGCGCAGCGTGCGATGGCAACTGCCCTGCAGCCGCGGCTGCGTCCGGCCACCTGCCCGCCGCTGCCCGCCCGCAGCAACGCGCCACATCTGTGGCAGCCGAGTGCACGGGCAGGGCGCGACGAGGCTGCCTTGCTTAGGCCAACGTGCCCATGTGGGTGGCATCCGAGCGAACGGGCAGGGCGCGCTTTCAGGACAGAGCTGCCTCGCTTAGGCCCGGACTGCGGTCAGATGCCCTTAGAGTCCCCACTTGTGCGGGCGAGAGGAGGAGAGAGAGGTACCTCATGTAATCTGCCTAGCAGGTAAAGGCCCATCTTGCGGAGCCATGAGATGACTCTACCGACACAGCACCAGCCAAGAGCCTCGCCCCACCAGGACTCGTCTTGGCTCGAGGCAAGAGCTATGGCTGCAAGATGCCAGGGGGATGCTGACTGTGTAGTACGGATAAACAGGACAGCAAGGCCCGATGAAACTCAGCGTGGAAGGGGAGAGGCCTACGTGGCACCACTGGGAAAGGGGAGGCCAGGGTTTCTGTCAAAAAAGCTTCGCAACCATTAAAAAGTTTGCTTAGCCTTGAATGTTTAACTTGGCCAGTTCCCTTGTGACTGAGAGTAGCAGAAAGGCTTCCCCTCCTTCCCTGGTCCATACATTGCTACCGGGGGAAGCCCGCACCCTCCCAGGGATGGAGCAGCCAAGAGCAAGGAGGCTCCCAGAAACTAACTGCTGCATGCACCAATGGCAAGGCTGGCTCAGCTAGTGCGAGTGAGACGGGAGCGTTTGCCAACCTGTCTAGTAAATGGGTGCTCGCCCCTGGGACTGGAGGTGCTACCAGGCAATGTTCATTTCAATAGTTATGCAAACACAAGTGCACACATATGAGTGCACACATACATAGAGGGAGGCATTCAAAAGGAAGGAATCCTGCCCTACGATGGCCTGATTCAACCTCCAGAGAAGAGGATACGCATGCCTGGGTGAGGAGATGTATATGGAGGCAAGGTGGGGGTCAGGAGGGGAGCAAGTGGGATGGATGAATAGATAACTCAGGGCTATCTACAGTTGGGCATGGGGGAAGGCACGGGAACAGAGTGTGCAAATTTATGCAACAATCCCTGCGCATCAGGGGATTTACCCCATGGAGTAAGGTGACTGCAGCCAATTCACCCAAACCATACTAATCCCAGGGGCCACTCTGGACTCCGAGGCACCGTGCAAGGAGAGCCCAGACCAGCCACCTCTGCTCTCAGAAGCACGGGCAGGATAAACACCAGCCCCTGGAGCACAGGATGTTTGGGTGGTGCTTGGGGCAAGGGAGGAGCCTTGAGTCAACTACATGGAAAAAGCAGCACTAGCCCAAATGTCTGCCCTTTTCTCACGCGTGCTTTGGATGAAAGGGGAACGCTGCCATCTGGGTAATCCCAAAATCTCCCCCCACCACCTCCCAGGATCCAGCTCCCCCAAGGCACTCCCAGGGGAGTCTCAGGGTTCATCTATGCCACCCCCACATGAAGGCCAGGACTGCCATCAAGATGCTCCCCCAGTCCACTCTCCC